TTGTTGAAGATATAATTTTGTTATTATTTTACAGTGCTTAAATCGGTATAAATAGTTTGTTTTCCATTGAAAATTCTATAACTCCATAAAATAATTTTTACAGTGTACTTTCAAGAAACTAGCTCATCCATACTTCATAGAATTATTGAAGTCTAGAAAAATTCTTGGTTTGCTTGTCATCGATGTTCTTGCTGCAAAATCATATATTCAAAAGAAAAAAAGAAACTTTATGTAAATATACTAAATAAATCTAACTCCGTGCCAAGCTTTAATGAAACTAAATAATGGTAAATAGTTTTTAAGCTACCACAAATTATGAAGCCATGTACAGTAGGAGAAATGTAAACTTTCAAATTAAAACTATATTGATAATTGAACAAAGTGAACCATAACTCTCAATGGATTTTCATCAACTTCATTGCCACTAACTGATGGAGAATATTTTCCAGCCGTGGAATTTTCTGGTGAATTTTGGTTAAATGGTTCTAGTTGGGATTTTAACGCCGGCTTATTCTCCACTATAAAACTAATTATTCAACAATTTAAGATTGTTTTCAAAAATAAATCAAGTCTTTCACTATAGTGGATTTTGAAGCCACGAGTGCATAAGTGGTGATGAATCAAAGTTTCGACTGTCAGATTAATAAGAATAATTTTGAGAAAATAATCCTATTTGGGTTCAAAGAAAACCAAATGTCCCCCTATTTTAGCATAAAAGATGAATTCTCTTCTGGATGAACGTTTTGCCAAAAGGAGATAGTAAATTGGAGTCATGTGGATGTCTCAATGGCTCCAAGAGGTCCCAACCTCCCAAAATAAGTTGTAAGATGACGAATGTGTGTTTATGCAATCAAACATGGTTTCAGTGATTTCAGCTTTTCTAGTTTCTTATTTGACTTTTCTAACTAAAATTGAGCACCAATACAATCCTTCTGATCCACCTTGAGATTCACGCACTACACAGGAATTTTTTTAGATCACAATAGATACAATTTCTGTTTCCATTTTTAACCTTTTCAAAATCATTACATACTAAAGGCTTAAAGAAGAAGCATCTCCGACTAAATAAAGCTTAAGCCAGGAAGCTTGACAATTCAGCTATAATCATCTAACCTTAGCATTGCATAAAATACAATATAGGTAAAAAAAAATGATATTTTTAAGGGCATTTACATACATACCACTCAAATCTTATGTATTTACATATCTAACAACTAAATTTTCATTTTTTACATTTATGCCTGCTGGAAATTTTAGGAGAGAAAATGGAGATTTGGATTGTTGGAAATGGTTGCATAGAAGAATAAGAATTTTATTACAAAGCTTTGCTTAATAGCTTTCAGCTTACAAGAAAACAACAAGTTATGCCTATTTAGAGGCTAAGAGACTAAATCTAGAATCGTCTAAACTCTAACATTTTTTTCTCTAGAGAGACATACTCAAGATGCTTCCAAGTTAAATATTCTAGAGTATTCTCATTTAATACAAATATCCTAGAATCTTCTACTTAAAGACTAGTTAGAATAATCCAGAACATTAGAGAAATAGCATCTTATCACTCCTCGATGTGAATTTCGATCACTCCTATCATAATGCGTAACAATTCAAATTTTCTTTTTAAAAGCGCCTTTATGATTATGTCTGCTAGTTGTTCTTCAGTCTTGCAATGCTTGAGCTTAATTTCATGATTGGTCACCAATTCTCTACTAAAATGATAATTGATACCAATATGTTTAGTTATGTCAAGAAATATAGAATTTTTTTTCATTTTTATAGATGCTTTGCTGTCACAATAGATTTTTGTAGCTCCTTTTTGTGGCTCACACATATCTTTGAAAATGTATTTTAGCCATATAACTTGACTAGTAGTTGCGGCAGCTGCCTTATATTTTGCTTTTGCTGATGATTGTGCAATAATTGCTTGTTTCTTTGATGCCCAAGAAAAAAATATTGAGCCAAATGTGAATGCATATCCCGAGGTGCTCTTCATGTCATCCAATGATCCGACCCAATCACTATCAGTATATCTAATTAGCCTTGAGTTAGGAATAGATTCATACCAGGTACCATAGTTCCTCATTTTTTGTAGATATCTAAAAACTCTCTTAGCTGCACTTTGACAAACTTCGCTTGGAGTTTGCATAAATCTTGAGAGTAGACTTGTGCAAACATGATTTCTGGTCTCAGCGTTGCTAGATAGAGTAAGTTTTCAATGAGACTTTGATAGGATGTGTTGTCAACCTTTGGTGCATTATCATCCTTCATAAGTGTCTTGTCGTCTAGTGAGTAGCTACTATCCTGCAATTGTTCATCTTAAATTTCTTTAAAAGATCTTCTGTATACTTCTTTAGTGAGATGAAGATCCCCTTTCATTTTGAAATACTTCTATCCCAAGAAAATAATGCATCAAGCCTAAGTCGGTCATCTCGAATGTCTTCATCGTGTCTTTTTTAAAATATTTAATAATATTCTCATTTTCCAACATATATAAGATCGTCTATATATAGTGAGACAATAAGAGTGAAGTTCGTAACTTAAGTCTTGATGTATAATGTTGGCTCACTTTTGCTCCTCCACAAGCCTTGATCGATGAATTAGTTGTCAATTCGACTATACCAAGCTCACGGGACTTGCTTTAATCCATACAAAGCCTTCTTTAACTTGAAAATTTTATATTCTTGACCTTGTACTATCAACCCTGGAGATTGTTCCACATAGATCTCTTCTGCCAAGTAGTCATTTAGAATTGTAGATTTGACATCCAGTTGATATATCTTCCACTTTTTTTGTTCTACAAGTGCAATTAATGCTCTTATTGTATCGCGTCGAGCAACTGGAGCAAAAGTATCATTGGTGGGAACTTCAAATTGTTGAGTATCCCTAAGCAACTAGTCTTGCTTTATATTTTTGATTTGATTTATCAGGATTGAGTTTTGTCTTAAAGACCCACTTAGAATCAAATTACCTCCATTCTTGTGGAAAGAATACTAGCTCCTACATCTTATTTTTCTCGATCATCTTTATTTCTTCTTACATAGCTTTTCTCCATAATTCTTGTTTGAGGTTTCATCAAAGCTTTCTGGCTCCATGATTGTCAAGTTAAAATGTTCATAGATTTCTACTAGAGATTTTGTTTTTCTAGTTTATGATTTTGTATATGAGTCTGCATCTTGATTTGGCTCTTGCATTAACGCTTGTGCTGATGATCCTGGTTGAATATTGACTTTTTCAATTTATTGATGTATTATTGGCGCCATGTTGACACTCCTTTCAATCTTTTTTGTCATACAATTGTATGCAGCATCTTCATCAAATTCCACATCACAACTAATGATAAACTTCTTTGTTCTAAAGCTATAGACTATATATCTTTTAGATTGAGTACTATAGCCTAAGAAAATTTCCTTTTCTATCTTTTCATCTAATTTACTCATTTTTATTGTGAAATGTGAACATAACAAATACAACCAAAGACCCTTAGATGTTTTGTAGATGGTTTCCTTCTATTCCAAACTTTAATTGGTGTCTTGTCTTCCACCGCTTTAGTTGTACATCTATTTAGTAAATAGATTGCAGTATATACAGCTTCTGCCTAAAAACATTTTAGAAGACCTATATCCATCAACATGATTCTTCATGTCTCCATTATAGTTTTGTTCTCCCTTTTAGAAACTCCACTTTTCTTTGGAGAGAAATTAGTATATTTTATACTATATTCTTGTCAGAAATGGTTACTCCATTGGCTCACATTTGATTAACTATTTAATTTATTTTGGAATGGTAATCATTTGCACTCTCTTTATCTTTCAATTTAACATTCTCAAAATCTCGTTTAAGATTGTCATTTGAAGGAGCGCACCTTCTTAGTTCTTTGAAACTCCTCCAATAATGTGTCTCATGCTTGCTTTGCAATTTTTGCGCTGATTCGAGGAAGAATGCCATCTGTCATTACTTGTTGTAAAACAAATAATGCTTGAGAGTCCTTTTGTTGATTCTCTTCAAGTGCCTTCTTTTGATTTGTTGAAAGAGTTGAAGTATCTTCTGGAGTACTGAATCCTTCTTCAACTATCTTCCACAAATTTTGAGAGTGAAAATAGGTCTTCATTTTGATGGATCAAAAATCATAATTTTCTCCATTGAAGATTAGAATTGAGACAGATGAGCAGATGAGCAGTTAAATTCGGCCATTATAGAGATATTGAAATTGTAGAATGCTTAACAAATAATTGAACAAAACTCTGATACCAATTGTTACAAATTTTTGGAGAGAAGATGGAGATTCGGATTGTTAGATATGATTGAAGAGAAAGAGAATTTTATTTCTAAGCTTTGCTGGGTAATTTTCAGCTTACATGACAACAAGAAGTTATGCCTACTTATAGGCTTGAGAGACAAAAACTAGTATCATAAAAATTTTTACAATTCTTTCTAGAAAAACATAATCTAGATTCTTCTTATTTAAATATTCTAGAGTATTCTCATTTAATACAAATATCTTAGAATCTTCTACTTAAGACTAGGTAGAATAATCTATAACATTAGAGAAATAGCATCAATCTTATCAATACCACCCAAATCTTTCATCACATCATAAATATCATAGTTTTAAAATTTAAAAAGTGAAATGCACTTCTATATAGACAGGTAAGAGAGTGTGTATGTAAAAATTAAATTCTAGAAGTTAGATACGTAAATACATAGGAATTGTGTGGTATGTGTGTAAATCTTCCTAGTTTTTATCTTTTGTATAAGCAATGTCATTGTCTACCAGATGCATCTCAGTAAACCACATCATTTACATTATCAGCTATGAAAGCCTCTGCACTGCATTGGTTGACACGTGCACTACAAAAAAGCAAAAGTAGCAAAGTCAAACACATACCTAAAACATGCTAATAGCATCCTTTGATTTTGCACCCAATTGCACGGTAAAGTAAATTAATTTATCATAAAACAAAAATGAAACAGTAAATGAAAGAAATGAACGAGTAAGATTTTACCTCCAAACATGCAATCTTGAATTCATGGGGTGCCCGACGTATAACTGAATCAGCAAAAAAAAAATAATAAATAAATAGAAGGTTATTTAACTAAACATCTCTGAAAAGAAGACCTCGTTATTAAATATCAAACAAATCATCAATATGAAAAGTATAACCTGTCAGTAGAATTTATGACCATCCAAAAGGTTATTTGACACGAAAGTCTAACTATAAAATGTCGTGCATAAAACATGAGAGTTGTTTTGATTTGCAGCACTACCTTCCCGGAAAAGAGAAGGGAACAATCCATCAGGTGAAATCACAACTGGGCCACTAGGAAGTGCTTTTCCATCCTGCAAAAGTACAGAACAGAAAGTAAAATAGTATACATCAATATATCAAAATTCAATAACACAAAAACTAGTATTAGTAAGAAATCTCAAATAAAAGAAGTGTCCAAAAGGGACCCTATACTTATTGTAAAAGGGTCATTTTAATCCCAGAATATTGAAGACGCTCTATTCGGTCTCTTACATCTGCAAATTTTATTCAAATTCACCCACCGTTGGATTTATTATGTAAAATCTCCTTCACCTATACAGCTCAATTTGAAGAGTTGAGAGACTAAATTGGGTCATATTCAATAGTCCAGGACTAAAATGGCCCCTCCGAAAAAATCCAGGAGCTATTTATTATTTTTTTTCAAATAATTGAAATCAATATATATATCCAGTCAACAAAAGAAGAACTTGAAACTTATTCAAGATGCAGAACGGCTAAAAAGTCAATCTTTTTGGAGGGTATTTTTTACCATGTAACTGCATAAAACAGATGGAAACTATACAGTTTTCGTTGAAAAAACAAAACAATAATTAGAAGCTCTTATCACAAATACATTATCAGGAAGAAAGACCAAAAACACATCTCCACCTGTTTCAGATTCAGAAGAAAGCTTCTGGTAAGATAAGCCTGCACAATGGCTCGAGCACTTAGGAAAAGGAGCTGGTAGCCGTTTTCCTAAATAGAGGAAATAAGTTACTTAGCATAACAAAAAAATTGTAGACTGACAATATTCATGAATTAGAAATAGTTTAAAAAGAAAAAAATAAATACATACATGCCAAAGTTTCTACTCGGGCTTCTATGATATATCTGATCTTATTAAAAACCAAAAACAAATTGAGATAAGACTAACAGATAAAATATAAGCTTGTTGCTGCTTATCAATACAAGCAAAATTTACTAAATACTATCATGAGAAAGAGGAAAGTAAGCTTTTAATCATCGATTTTCATAATTATTAAAAATGGGCAAAATTTCACCACTGTAGTGGTTAGCACCTTTAAATATAGTGATTTACAACCTTCTTAAGAAAAAACCAAGAATGAATTGATAAACAAAAGAAAAAACATGTTTGAAGAATAAAACAAGTAATGAATGAACTGTAATTGGACAGATGTTTCAGCTAAAAGAGGGATGAAAATTGGTAAATGTGGGGAAAACAACAATTCCAAGTACAGATCTGATGACTTGTTTCATTACAATTAACATAACCAAAGCAACAAATTTGATCAATTATTTGAACTTCCTAAATACATAAAACTGCTCCTTATCAGCACAATGCTTTAGATGAATTATACTTCTACTTTATGGTTTCCTTATATGAAAAACATAATCAAAATTGAAGTCATGAGTTAATTAAGGTTTGAAACATTTTTCAATGTGTTTATGCTCTAATCCCGCCTTCTGCAAAATTTTTTCAACAATTCAAAATCAAGAACCACATGGTAAACAAGAGAGTTTCAAAATGCACCAAATTGCTGAGTCAAATCTCATAAATTAAAGGAAGATTTTAAATGCAACTTGCTTTCTGCACGCTCACCATATATTAAACTTAATTATACCTTTATAGCAGAAAAAAGTCGTGCAACCCCTGACTGTGTCCAATCTTTTCCAACCAGAGGCATAACCTGGCCGAGGACATCAGACCTAAAAACAAAAAGGAAGGAGAGATATGAGTGAGCAAATAAAATTTAGAGATCATCATGGGTGGTTAAAATGGAGAAGTATTTCAGAAATAAGATAAAACAGAATATTCTGGAGACAAGGTGAATTTCAAAAATCACAAATGATCAGACAATGCTACATGGATACAATTGAACAAATAAAAAATATTTTGAAAGCGGAGCTGAGTGTGAATGAGATGAGAAAATTGAGACAAATGCATGGAAAAATAATGGAGTAAGAAATTAATATATCGTGAATGGAAAGAGTACCATAAAAGATAAAAATGAAAAAGAACAAAGTTTCAATAGAAGATGCATCAAAAATCAAGTGGATGGCATCAATGGGAAATAATTGGGTAGAGAGAGGCATAGACCAAATAATGAGTGGATAAAGTTGTGCCAAAAGATGCACATAATTGAGTTCGGGGGCGGAACTGAGTTATGTCTGGGGTAAGCAATTGACCCCTGAAACTTGAAATTTCTCTACATAAATAGTAAAATTTATTTTTTCTTTATTTAGTTTAAGCAATTTAGTCATTTTGCCGCCCCCCTCCTAGATAATTTTTTTTTTCCCAATACTTAAAATACTTAAAATAAATTAGACATTTGGTGAATTTGCCCGTCTTAAAAAATAATGTTGATTCCGCCACAGATTGAGTTAGCACTTCATGTGGCTTTCAATATGAATGAAGGGTGAAAAGGTCTTATAAAGTTAATAACAAATGATTGGTGAAAAGCTAAGATGGCAAAGGTGAGTCCTTAAAAAAGCACATCACATCCAAGAAAATGTATTTTACAATTGAAGTAATCAATTGAAATATCATTCAAATAAAAATCAAAGCAATGATCCTTTTTATGTTATATTGTTATATGAAAGCATCACATGAAAGAACAACATAAGCTTTACGAAAAATCTAGTTAGACTTTAAAAATAGGAAAATTTACAAAAGTAGTCCTAATTCTTAAATATTTACATATCTCAGACCTAATTTATCATATTCACATATATAACCCTTTAGTGATTCAGATCTATGCATAAAAATGTGGATTTCACTTTTAAAACGTAATGATAGTGCTGTTTGGGTAAATATAATGGATTAGGTAGTAAACATGTAAATACATAAGAATTGTGTGCTGCGTATGTAATGCCCCTTAAAAATAATGTAAATAACTCACTTTGTAATGGTGCCATCAACATCAGATATGACTATCCGTGCATTCCATTTCCACAAGTAAATATGAGCATCGACCTGTTTTACAAATGAAATGAGAAAGATGATCTAAATAATAAAAGCAAATGTCCTAGCAAAATATAAACAGCAACCTGCTGTTTCCCAAGAACTCTGGTAGAGAAACTAAAGGCTACCATGTTTTGTCCATCCTTCAAATTCAAAGATCCAATTTGTTCAGTGGTTGGAATGTATGTATGAAGGAGTTGTTTACGGGGAGATGGATTACTATCAGAAACAGGGTTTTGTTCAGCCTGTGGATTCTGCCCGCCAGTTTCTGTATTAACAAAAAGATCTTCATTTAAAGGATCGCTATTAGTGTGTTCGAGTGTTCTGCTCCTCCTAAATGGTATTGGCCACAATCTCCATCTACGACTAGAACTGGAAGAAAGTGAAGCTCCTTGCATTTCTTCTCTCATACTAGTGATTTCCTTGAGATCAATAGGAATCTGATCCTTTATGTCACATGAGAAACCTGAACCATACACAGCTTTGCCCACAACCAAATTAGCAGCTTTATCCCAAGCCAAATACATCTCTTTGTATCGAACTATGAGGTTTTTATTGTTAATTATGGATTGTCCTGAAGTTTTAAACTCATCCTCAGAGACAAGATGCGCATCAAAGGCTTGTTCTGCAGCAGCACGCCCCATTCCAGGCCGAAGTAAGTTCCCACAGAGCGAAATCTCAAAACCTATGAATTATAAAAGAATAAACCACAAAAGTATTCATACGCCACACCGTGAAAAAATGGATCTCTGTAACAAAAGATAAAAATACATTCACCTACCAAAGCGTGAAATACTGCTTTGAATTTCTTGATCCTCGGTTTGATTTATTTCTGCTTTAGTGGGAGATATCTCGTGCCTTTCACTCGCACATTCTATAACATTTTTCAAATTATTAACGGAAACTTCAATTGAACCTTCCTGTGTCATATTATCAACAGCCAGGCTCTTCTCAGATGCCTCAGCCGCATTTTTCATTGCTGTCAATGTCTCATCAGATAATAGATTAGAATCACAATGGGCTACCTCTGAGCCAATTTGATCATCATTCTGCTTGGTATCAGAATTAGCATTGTTTTCCAGATCTTTCATTTCTACATTTAAAGAAGATAACAAAGGAGCTCCATTTTCCCTAATTGATGATTCTATGGGCATTATAGTGTTGGAAGAAGAGAAAAAATGTGGGTTTTTTGAGTCATCTTTGGTTTCCAAATCTTGGACGTGCGAAGTCAGATCAAGGCAGCTTCTAAACACATCTTCTTTACCAATAATAGCAGCAATATCTTCTGAACTGTTGCTCAACTCAAGCTTAACAACACTCTGAACCTGTTCACCACGAAAGGAAACTACTTTGCTATCGTTAGAAAATTTTAATGGATTCTCCAAAGCATAATTCTCCTTAGAAGCACGTGATTCCATATTGACATACAAACCATCTTCCCACATTGCACTTCTTGAACCGAATTCATCTCCAGGTCCTTCCCCGGGACCTAGGTGGAATTGTGGGTTATCCAATGGAAGACTTTCCATGTTCTCATCACTAGCCGAAATTGGTGCGGTGAGAACAAGTCCATCTACACTGATCAGAACCATTTCAGAATTAGCATCATTAGATGATTCCACTACATCCTCCACTTCTTCTAAATTTGCTGAACCTGTCTGATATTGAGGTATTCCCAATGGTTGTTTGCTCATCTTCATGAACATCTTCCTGAACTCGCTCCCTATTTTCATTTAGATCAACCATATAATCCTCAAAGTTCTCATCATGGCTAGAGGTTGGAGTCTTCTGCTTATTCTCCAAATGATTAGATTTATTTAAAGCCTGATTAGTTGATTCTTGATCATTGGTTCCAGAAACAACTTCTTTCAGGAAATAGGCCTCTCCTGAGGAATCAAGATACATGTGGAAATTTGCATCCTCGCCATTTACTGCAATAGTAACAACCTTCTCAGCACCTTTTAGAACACCCTGAAATTTCCCAAAACGGACATACCATGGCGTACTTCGATAGGTTCCATCCTCTTGTTCAACAACGATGATATCCACTGCACCACCGAATGGGTGGAAAGGGGTTGCAACTGAATAAACACCCTGAGAGATTATACTCCCCACCCTACCTACCACATTCATCTTCAAGGAAAACTCCACAGCCCTCAAGGAACCACAGGTGATAGTCCCCACTTTTTCGAGTGCCAGATGAATTTTCAGTTCGATTTATCAACCCTGGCAGCGGAATAACCAAATGGGTAACAAAAACATGATTTCACAAGAGAATGCTTCCTAATTCGAGTTCCAATTCACCGGTTATACTGCCAAGCAATGAGAAATATGGACGATTGGCTATTTTCTGAAACCTACTTCGGAATCTTTGCCCCCTTGAGCGCAAGCCACGGTCACGCAGAAATGTGCTTCCTCGCCCGTCCGTTCGATGTGGTGACCTGGCTTATTCAATCGATTGGATGGAAAAAAATAAATAAATAACAGAAACAGGGCGACATAAATGGAAACCCTAGCACAACACAGCAACCGATTCACATAAAATACTCGAGAAACCGAAATAAAACTATGCCAAACACGAGATATTCTCTCAAAAAAATGAAATCACAAAATTTCAAATCTTAGCAAAAATCTAAGGTCCCTTCCACAAAAAAAATCAGAGAAACACGAAATGATTGGCGAAAAACAGAAAAGCTCACACCTAACAGCTGAAGCAAACGAAATCACGGAGAAGTAGAAACCGGGATGCAGATAGAGATTATTCTCCTCTCTCTCTCTATTCCTTCTGACCGATGACGATGCCAGTCACTCCCATCGGCGGTGGATAAACTGCAATGCAAGCTCCGAATTTGGACACCATGCGAACTTCATTTATAGTTATTCGTCAGATAAAGAGCGCACTTGAATTCGGTATTAGTCGGAGTGAATCTGATTTCTGAATTTAGTGCTGGGCCGGAGAAGACGATTTCCCTTTGGGAGGAGAAAAGTGGCATGGCGGAAGCGAACATGAATGTTCAATGTTCCAGAATATGGTCACGTCCATGAGCGTATGTATTGTTGACCGGTAGGGGCCAGGCTAGCTGGAAGGAATGAAGGTTCGCTGATCGTTGGCAGCACGTTAGTTATATATTGTTCGAGATTTTATTTTTTATTTCCTTTTTGGACAACTGAATTTTAAGCATGGTATCTTTAGAAGGTGTTCGGCTGCATGAAGCACTTTAGTAGCATTTAGAACCTAACAAAAATAATTTTGTTTCTACATAGCTCAAAATAAGAAGCCAAAAATTAATGATTTAGTTATGATTTAATGTGTTGTACTATTATTCATATATCTTTTATTCATTCTCATTTAATTGAAAGAATTGAACAAATCAAAAAAAAAAATAATGCATCTAAGCTCTAAGATATAAATCGTGATAATACATATTTTTTCCTCAAACGTGTTATTGAGGGATAAAGTATTAAATCTTTGTAAGAAATAAAGTTTTTGATCAGAATATGAAATATGAAAAAAAAAGGGAAAGATTGCTTAACTATTGAAGTTGTTAATAGAACGAAACACACTTTTACCACTAACCTATACCCGTTGCATATTCAATATTTGAGATAAATGGACATTTTATCCAACAAAGTAATTAGATGAGTCAAGCTAGCATCAAAATCATGAAAATTTCAGCATTAACAGGTATTTTGTTCCATCGCATGCAAATTTGAAAAAAAAAAAGGTAAATAGGAAAAAGTTTAGTCAAATTTCAATATTATACTAAAGTTATATGTATTTTATTTTTTAAAGCCTCTCTTCATTTGAACCGTTAGATTTTCTTAATTTGGGTAAATTGGGCCTCAAACTTGCAAGCTTATCATTTGCTTTGAATAAGTTAATGATTTATGGTATCATTTTAGAAATATATGTGTTTTTTTTTTTTTTTTGGTTTTCATTCTCTTATCACATTTTTTTTATATTCTTAAATAGAAAATTTATAAAATTAGGAAATTCAGTAATGGAAAATAAATTTCATTCTAAATAATTCCCTTAAGAAGCCTTAATATTAATGAGAAAGAAGCATTAAGAAATAAATAAGAAAGAAGTATTAAGAAATAAAAAAAATAAAGACAAAAAATCTTAGTACAATATTAGTACTATATTAGTATATACTATATACTATAAATACTCTTATTAGTATTAGGAAGAGTAATAGAACTCTTTTACTAGTTTTTACTATAAAGCTATAAAGATTAAATATTCTAATTTAGACTCTAATTTATTAGAATATACTTAAAATAGAAATAGAATCTCTATGATTCAATTAGTAAATATATATAATATAAAATGAAAATAGAATATATAGAATATATTAATTCTATTAATTATTATTTTAGATATAGTTAGATATAGATAATAGATAGGTTGTTTTAAGAATTTATAAGATAATCTATCTATTAGAATCTTATCTAATTTCTAATAATTAGGAATGGCAATGAAAATTACTCTTCTCCTTTCAATAAAAAAATTTATTTGTCATAACAAAAAAAGTACTAGCCCGACCAGTACTTATACTTAACTAAGCCGGGAAATGAAGTTTTTGTTTTGTACAAAATAAAAGAATGTATTTTTTTTTATTTGAGAAATCTTTTTTGAATCATTGAAGTAAAATAAAAACTTTTATAAATCTTGACTTCATGTGTTAAATCACATGATAAATTTCAAATGTGGAATGGGGAGAGATGGCTGAGTCGACTAGAGCGTCATATTGCTAATTCGTTGTACGAATAGTCCCTGTGATCACATGAGATTTTATAATTGGAATAATTTGTTTATTATTCTTTATTTATGAATCTTTTATCTTATAGTTTAAGAGTAAGCATTACAAATCTCCAAGATAAGATAAGATCATTTTTTTAAAGAAATAGATCACCTATTTTAGGACACATATTATCGCTCTAAAGATGAAAAAAAAATGTTTTTTTAAATCTTTTTTCACGATTTTTTTCTAATGTAATAAGATTTGTATTCTTTAGTTACCAAAAATTTCTTGCCATATTCATATCTATACTTAAGTAATTTTATGGGGTAAGGGATCTTATAAAGGAAATGTTAGAACAAAAGAGATAAGTTGATTAGCATTTTAAAGAAAAGATAAAGATCATCGGCCCATCCGCTTATTCAATATTCAAATTAAGATTCAATATAAAATAGAAAATACCATACTTTTTGAATCAAGAGTTTCTAATGTCCTGACTTATCTGCATCTTTCTTATGATCTTATTGATTTTTAGAATAAAATCTCATCCTTTTCCATATATAAAATAAATTATGAATTGAATAGAGATTAGAGATTAATTTTTTTTCGGAAACTTACAGTAGCTTGCCAAACAAAGACTAAGAAAAAAGGAGTAAAGAAATAATTGGCATAACATCTATGATTGGATTGAAAAATGCATAAGCCTCATGCAATTTGGCGAAGAAAAAACTAGTCGAATAAAAATTAGAACTAAGACAGAAACAAATTAAAAAAAAATATTAAGCATAACAAATATTCTTTTCTTATTCCTAAATTTAAGGATTTAAACTAAATTGAAGAATAAATTATTAGATTGAATTGAGTTATTTTTCTGAGGGAAAATTGAAAATAAAAAGGCAGATAAAAGAAAGAGATTCTTATTTTTTTGAACTTCTCCCCAATCAAAAATCCTTCAGCACATTATCAAATCAAATAAGGATACAAGTGTTGACCTCACTTTTGGTTGACGTCTAGTTTCTTACTTAGAAGCCTAAGATCTAGCAATAGGAATTTCTTGTTAACTATTCCTATAATGCTGGTAAAGGAACCCTCGCCATTAGAAATTCTAAAAATCTTCTTTGCCCATCTTGAATTCCACATATTGGTTCTAATCTCTAGCACTTAGTAGGTGGAGTCAATATGAGGGAGCTCAAGAGGAGTCCCCATAGGAGGAGTCCCCATAGGACTGTCGGACTGTCTGGCCTTAGGATTAGCCCTGGGTGGTGTGGTCTTGGTCAGTCTTGCACACACACACACTTGATACCCTTCACCTGCACACACAACCTCAATCCTTAACCAAATATGTCTAGCTTGATCCCTTACTCTATTGGAAACTCATGTGGATGGTCTCCCAAACTTTTAGCCCTAGGCTTTGGATAAGACCAGCACATGGAGGATCCATAATGGGACTTCCCTTCATCTCATGGCTCAATAAAGGGTAATTTTATGATTAGCATCCTCAATTGATCTAATCCTACCCAAATGCCCAGTTTAGCATTTTTACCCCCAAACTTTCTCAAAAATACCAATTGCCCCTGAAATCCTAATTTTTTTCAAATAACCCAAACTATCCAATTTTGTCCAAAAATAATTTCAAACCACTCAAATAGCCCAAAACATTCCAAAATTTCAAAAATTCCCAAAATACCCCTAAGTTTGCCAAAATTACCAAAATGTCCTTGGTGGCCCAAAATCTCCAAAATCATTCCAAATGTCCCCAAAACCAATTTGGACCACTCCATCAAGCCAAATTTGACCAAAATGATCAATTTTGACAAAAATTCTTAAATTACCCCGAAAGACCCAATTACCCTCAATTTTCATCAAATTGACTTCAATCTCACCCAATTTCAAATCTAAATCAAAATCCATCATATCCAATCCCAATTGAAACCAAATTTAAGCCCAATTGAGCCAATTTTAAGACTAAATTGGAAGCCCAATTTAAAAATCCTTAATTTTACCCTAATACTCAAATGTTACCAAATTGAACTTCCTAACTCCACAATCTCCACCCAATTGATACCCAAAACTCTTCATCACAATCTCTTGGACAAATTTGAACCTTTAATTGATCCAAATCCAAACCCTAACATGATGCAACTTTTTTATATGCTTATTTTTATATATTTTATATAGTCACAATGATATAAACACAAGTATATGTATCGCTCAAGTAATATAGGACTTTCTGATTAAGCCCCAAATATCGATCCCACGAGGAAGCGAGGAAAGACGTGCTTAGTCAAATTCCAGTCTACTACTATAAGTCCTTAGTTTGGAATGTCGATTAAAATGGTGTTTTATCTAGCAACTACTCCTAAACTCCTACTACTCCTAAATGCAAATGTTAAATGCAAGGATAGTAACTATTCCTAAATGTAAATATTAATTTTAAAGATAACCCTTTTTGGATGAGTTGGTTTAGAAAATTTTAAGATGTTAAAAACTACTATTCTTATATAGTGAATAGGATAATGTAATGGAATGAGATACATTAAATATTGTATGTGCAAAATAGGAGCAATTTTAATTCTCTACCCTGATTCAGTGTTATAGAAAATCATTAGCTAATCTTAGGTTTAGTCCCTAAATTCGTGGCTAGGCTAGGAGGATACTGGCTCCCACTTCCCTTCCCCCACCTAAAGGCTAACTCTCGCTTTAGTCCTTAAACACTAAGACTGAATTAGGCATTTTAGTCTGTTCATCCTAGAAATCTCCAATTCTACACCCAATAAACATTTCCCTATTTATTTGCACTTAATTCCATGAATGAAATACTCCGTCATGGATTTAAATGTGATTCTCACTATGTTGTAGAACTCATACTCTATTTCCCGGATCATATGTTTCACAACATATTTTAACAATTTAATTTGCCAGATTGAAAAGTAAATTAAGAGCGGAGTTGAAAAACCATCACAATTTATAATTAAAACTTCTTCTAGGTTGCATCCCAATATCCTAAACATGAATCCTACTCTTTACAAAAGAAAAGTAAAAGGAAAATAACGACATAACCTTCTCATGCTAGTATTTCCAAAAAAAGAAGAAAGAGTAAGAGAAACACATCACAAAGCACGAAAAAAACACAACGAAAAACTTTATTAAATCAAAACAAATCTACTAGATAAGTGTTTACAAAATCATAAGATAATGAAGAACACAATACTTAGATTTTTCCCTTGAAAGAAAGATAAAAATCTCTCCCACAAAGTCTCCCGATGATCCATGCAATGCTAGAACATTCCCTTACATATGCTCTCAAAATACCCTCACCAATCTCTCCAAAAAGGTAGAAATCTACATTTCTAATCCTATTCTAAGATCTCTAAATAT